TACCATACAAAGATGATTTAAGATCTTCAAAGAAGATCAAGTTATCCATGCCTCAGTATTAGGAGACACATCTGAGTGTGTGCCTCCAAACAACTGCTTCTATAATTATTTTTACATTTTGTTGTTAAACAGAGTACTTGCTGTTGCAACAAGTATTCTTTATGCAACAACCAGCACACTTTGAAGGCAAAAGCTGTGGGCTTGACTATCTTGAAATAAAAAAAATGAACTGCCATTTCCCATTTCCTGAACCCTTGCTCCAACAAGAGGGATGTTCATGTCTGTGGAATTATTCTCTGACATGCAGTGGGTAGGTCTATTTTTAGAAAGCTATATGACCACAACACCTTATCAGTAGGAAAAAAAACCCCAAAAACCAGCAAATTATTATACTGAATATTTCAATATACAAAAATTATACCAGTATGATGAACATAATTTTACCTATAGGAAGGTGGAAGGAGGATGGCTTCAAAAACACAGTCTGCTAACTCACCTCAAGGGCTGATAGAGGGTTGGCTCAGGAGCCAGATAGAGCTGGCTCAGGAGCTGCCAGTTCTGGAGAAGATCCATCATGTGGATTATCCTAAACTAGGGCAGGATCAAACTCAAAATGGTTTTTGTTTCTGCTCATTTTCCCTTGAAGTACTGGTGACTCTTGAACATCCACAATCTCTGCAACATTTGGAGATGCATTTTTCTAGATGAGGACTTTGGAATCCACAGAAGAGAATCAGAAAATTTTAAGCATGTTTATGTTATATCTAATGAGACCACAAACCCTTACTCAGAGAAGTGGGTTAAAGACTGGAAGGATCTTTTCCATAACTAAAGTTTTACAAGCCCATCTCAGATCATGCGTGACCTGCATCAGGCGCATGGTGACACAGCCTAGCTTTTTTTCCCCCACATAATGTCCCTGCCCCTCTGCAGGGCACAGAGCCACATCCAGGAAAGGAATGGATGCATCAGATGCTGCTATTTATGAGGCTGATTAGGTGTAGCTCATGTAGCAGGTTTAATATATTGAGCGTATGCTTATATATTTACATTGTACTTTCCTTTGCCTATTATACTGTAGTTAAAACACCAGTGAGAAAATATGAACTGTTGCCTTATGATTATTCCTAAACAGATGTAAATCAGTGTCTTTACTACCTGGATCAGGGTAAAAATTAAAATGCCTTGGAAAATGAATTTAAAAGAATATTACAACACACTGTCTGGTGGATTTGAGTTTTGTTGTTTGGTTTTTGTGTTGCTGTTTTTTTTTTTTTTTTGTTGTGTTTTTTTGTTGTTGTTCTTTGTTTGGTTTTGGTTGTTTTGGGGGGCTGTTTGTTTTTATTTTGTTTGTTTTGGTGTTTGGTTTGGTTTTTTCTCCTGAAGAAGCATTAAAGATTTAAAAGAAAGAGAGATAAATTTTTTAACTTCAGTGTTTTTGCCTTTAAGAATCATGCTATTGTGGTCCACTGCAACGCAATACTTTGGCAAGTGCCAGAAAGCCGAAAAAAGTACAGACAAAAAAAAACTCAGAAGAGGGTAATCTTGCACAGTACAAGTATGGTGACAGATTAGAAAAAAATGTTTGAATAGTATTTGCAGCTGTCATGGATTGACTCTGGCACAGTGCCAGTGCCCCCATGAAATTCTGCCACATAAGTCACATCAACAAAATTTGACAGAACTGTTTGAGCAGCATAACCAGCTGCTGCGTAAGTTTGTCTGAAGTGCTTGTTCCATCATTCCTAGAAGCTGAAGAGAACAAGGTTTTCAGGACCTTTGGGAGTAAAAGGCTATTACTCAGGCCTGTTTCAATATATCTCTATAGCAAATGGAGGTAGTAGTGTATACAGGCAAAATGGACAATAAAAAATGAATAATGCTAAACTGTCACAGCAAGTCCACAGCAAGTAATGTCTGCTGGAAACAGAAAAATAAAAATCTACAAAACTGTCTTTCTATCTCATTTGATGTATAGCATATATGGATCATTTCAAATGTTCTCCTTACAAAGACTGAGCCTTTCTGAGTTCAAGAAGCTTTTAGACAGCACTGTCAGGCGCATGGTGTGGTTCTCAGGGACTCCTGTGCAGGGTCAGGAGTTGCAGTCAGTGTTCCTCTTGGGTCCCTTCCAGCTCAACATATTCTGTGATTCTAGGATTCTATTATTTGAGGGTGGGGAGGAAGGGAATGGGGGTTTCATGCTATATATTGTATTCCCTTGAAGTTTTTCTGTGAGCTGGCAGCAATATACATTATTTGTTTCCATTTATTTTATTCTGGAAGTAAGTTGTCACAGTAGAACAGTTAACAGCTTCCATGTGCTGTGAAGATAATATCACAGAAGGACAATGGACTGTAATTACATACAATGTCTTTAGAAATATGACTCTTGCAGGGTTGAAGACTGCTTCAGACTTTCAAATTAGTCTGGATGACCCCATCTTTATTGCTGTTGAATTTCTGGAAATGATGAAATGCCAAGTCATTGAAAATAACTGATAAAAGCCTAAACAATGAGAAATTAATAATTTAGTCTTTGACTTCATGTAAGTCCCATATGCTTTTCATCCAGGTGCAATATTTTATAGGGAAATGCTTGTTTTAGTGAATCTGAGTGATCTTCAGATCACTAAAAATAGATCAATTTGTCAAAGATGGAAAAATCTTTGATCATATGCTCTTACATTTGATTTTCACTAAAATTGTGGATGCAAACAGCAGTGACTGCAGCAATGATTTCTGTTATCTGATATAAGTGCCAGTAAATGACTGGGACATCAGGGCTAGGACTATGTTGCAGAAACTTAATATAAGATTCAAGTGTAGATATAGGCCTTTTTGGTCTCTTTACTTCATAATTTGCATAGCAGAGACCCAGTAATGCATGTGTTTATAAATGACATTAAATAATAGGAGGATTTCTGATTGTATCGTGAATACCATGTTGAAATTTTGTTCTTTAGTCAGAATCACTGAAATACATCTGAGAAATAGCTGAGGCTATCTTGTCATTACACCATTTTGTGTCACAATAATCCTTTCCTGCTGTTAGACAAACACTAAGAAGTACAGCTTCCTTTAGTATGTTCCCTTGGAAAGAAATGTAGTGAAATGATAAATGCTCAGTCTTCAGTAGCTCAGTCAATGGATAATACAATCCTATACACTGTGATGTCCAGAAGTAAATGCTGGTACAAGCTGACTTTACTTATGGGGATTTTCTCTAAGAAAAAAGGCAAATTTTGCCTTCTGGTATACTTTGCATACTGTTGGCCAGAGGGGGGGAAGCAAACAGAAGAGATTTTTTCAGAGGCAATCAAACAGACAATTATATAGGTATTATACCTCAAATGACTAGCTCAGAAAAGAGTAAGTCTGCTCCTAATCCAGGAGTGCTAATGTCATTTTGTTCCTCACCTGAAAATATTGTGAAGCTGATAAAGCTGACACAGCATGCATTGTAAGGAGATAACGACAGGGAACATTGTCTGCTGTTTAATTCAGCAGCTGAATGTGAAAGTCATGTATCCTGCTGTTACATAATATACAGCTTTTCAGGGCCTCATTTTGTGATATGTGGCTGAACCACTGCCAGGTGGAAATCTCTGAGACATCCCCCTAGTGTGTCTCCCAAGAGTCACAGGTGCCTCTCCTGCTATGCTGTTGAAAAAGAGGTGCAAATTTCTTCCCACATGTCACACATAGCAGAACCGAGCAGGCCACTGCTGATGTTTTCTGAAGGGGCTGCTCTGTGAGAGCTGTGGAACATTGACCCAGGAAAACAAAATGAACCAAGGGAAATAAAATGATGGGGCTAGCTTTGTTGAGAGACAGGATGAAGTGAATCAAACATCCTGGGCTTAAAACCAGCTCCAAAAGTTGCTGGCAGTTTTGACAGCAGAGACTGCTACATGAAAAAAGGTGAGCTCTGCCTGCCCACTGTAAACACTGATCGTGGAGGTGTTCACTGGCAGCTGAGCAAAGTAGTAACTCCAGCAAGAGGTGCAACTAAACACGGAATACAGACACTTCAGGAGCAGTGAAATAGGTCAGGGCACCATGTTACAAGCCCAGGCCTGCTGCTACCGCTGTTGCGAAAATCAAGGCTGCCTCAAAGCACTTTTGACTTTCACATTTAGCTCTATTATGTCTAGCATTTTTCAACATAGCTGTTCGCCTGAATGAAACCATTTTCTCCTTACATGCCAGCAGCAACACTTATTTTAAAAGTGTGTAATTTTTGGTGGCTTGTTTTTGTTTTTGTTTTTGTTTTTTTTTGTTAAATTATAGATTGTAGTAAATAATCTGAAAGCAAAAGTGTTCTAAGCTAAAAATTGTTTAGCCCTGAAATTTTAGTAAGAGCACCCTCTGGTGGTTCATGTATGAACAATACTCTATATCTTCTAAAAGCAGTTGTGTATTAATAGTACTGAATTTTAAAGAACTGGGTGAAAACTTTTTCCATTGAATTCTTCCTTTCAATCAACTTGAAATTCATAAATATACTTTCTAAAAAAAAACCAAACTAAACCAAACAAAAAAAAAACCCAAAACAAACAAACAAACAAAAACAAAAAAAAAAACCAAAAACCCAAGCAAATGAAAAAGGAACAACAAAATTAAAAACAAAAAAAAAACAAACAGGAGGAGGAAAGTGTTTAAAAACATGTGCTATCTAATTGTACTACTATCTATAAGTACAATTTAATTCAAGAGAGTCAACCACATGCGAAAAATTAAAGATAGAAATATAGATATATATCTCAAGAGACATATATTCTAATGACTTTGCAGTTGCAATGGACAAAATCTAGAATCTAAGGAGTCAATAGATAAAACTGGAATATATTTTTCAAAACCTTTGTTGTTTTCCTCTCCTAATTTTAATCAGATTATTTAGGTCTTTTTATTTTACCCAGACTCCATGATTTTAATCAGAAATACCTGTTGTAATTACCAAGAAATCCCAAGAATGACTGTCTACCACTTTGTCACAGGTATCTTCCACTTAAAAGTACCTGAGACCTCTCACGTTGGTTCTGCTATTGGACGGATCAGAGCTGTGGACCCTGATTTTGGAAAAAATGCAGAAATTGAGTACAACATAGTTCCAGGAGATGGAGGAAACTTGTTTGACATCACAACAGATGAGTACACCCAGGAAGGAGTCATTAAACTGAAAAAGGTATGTGGCACCAATGGGTGAATGTGCCTGCGTCTCATGTGGTAAACCAGCTAAGGAAATTAAATGTTTCACAATTTTACATCATAAGTAGCTCACAGTAGTAGTCCTACATAAGTAGTTTATAGCTCTATTTGAATCCACAGTTGTGATCTTCATGTTAAAATACATTGCAGTTTAATCTTTCATTTCATATACAATTAGGTGTGATGTTTCATAAATAATGCCATGGTGAAGAAGCAATTCTAGTCTCTGTCTAGAAAGTACAATTTCTCTTGCTTGGGAAGTTTTCTACCTAAAACCATGTAAAAAACATTTTAATTCAGAGCATGGAATGAAAGAGTTATATTTTATATTAGATAGAATGTAATAAATTTTGACTTATAAGCATTTTTATTTATTTTTATTTTGAAAATTTTGACTTTGTGTTTGCTATTTTGAGAATGAATATTGTAAAGTACTAAGGTGAACACAGTTTTTATTCAGGGTGGAAGAGTCCCAAATGGCAAATAGCCATGCCCTACTTCCAAACTCGTGATAGCGTTCCAAGTAGCTGGTTATAAGATACTCATGCAGAAAAACACACATCTCGGTCATTGATGTTGCTTTAGTACACTAGAATAAGTTAAAGATTACTGAATTCATGAATTTCAAAGATGGAGAGGGTGCTTTTCCTTTAGAATTTAGTGATTGAAGCACTTAGTAGGAGAAATCAAAACAGGGAATTTCACATTTTAACCAGTTGTTATTTTCTGAGCCCAGGCATTTACATATACACCAATGATCAACATGTTCTGTAGAAAGAAATCTGAACCACGGGTCATTTTGGAAGGCATAGTTATGTTTTATAGACAGCTCAGACTTGTAGGTGTAGATTTTGTAAAAAAAACCAAATTATTAGCTGAACTCTTTGCAAGTGTCTGGGAAGGAAAAAGTTCTGGACATGTATGTTAAGATAAGCTTTAGGAAAAGTGAAGCTTTAATTCTAAGAAAATTTAGAATGCTGGTGCTTAACTTTCCTTGGCTTTGACCATTGATCTATACTTGAATTATATCCATTCTAATAATGGAAGTCCTGGCTTCAACTTCCTTACCTGGGAAATAGTAAATTATCCATGGGTGCATTAAAGAACATGATGATCTCAAGTCACTGACACTTCTGCTAGTTTTAATGACATAAAATGGAAGCCACTATACTCACAGGAAGTAATTTGTCAATGAGACACAAACTCTTTGACCTCTTAACACCCCCCTTCTTTTCTGACTAAAGGTTTGAGTGTTCTGTTTCCTCCTAATGGGAATTTGTAGACTTAGTTTCATTTTTAAAAACCGTTCTGGTCACCTTTTTTCCCTCCGTGCAGATGACTCAAAAATGGGTCCATCTGGAGCTGTCAGGCTGAGCAGCTGCATACCCCTCCATATGCACTGCCAGTTGGAAAATGCAGTAAGCAAGAACCATTAAAAAATTAATATTTCATCATCGAGACCAGATCATCAAGACCAGGTTTTTGATAGAATTCAGTTCTCCTTGCATTAGTCCTAAGCCTCCTATGTGCTTCTTTTTTTTTTTTTTTAATTATACACAGCAATAGAATTTTCTATACTTTTGGTTAAGTTTATTTATTACCCACTGCTGGTTTTCCAGGTTGGCAGTGATGATGTTGATAAGAAGGGTGCCAGGGTAATTAAAAAGGAACTTCAAGGCTCTGGGTCAATTGGTTGATGAGACAGGAGTGCAGGCAGTGCTCTGCTCAGTTCCTTCAGTGACAGAGATAAATGATGAAAGGAACAGGAAAACCCATGCTACCAATAAGTGGTTTAGTGGTTTAAGGGCTGGTGTCATCAGCACAATTTTGAGTTTTTTGATCATGGGGTAACTTTTACAGCACCAGGCTTGCTAGAGTCAGAGAGGCTCCATCCATCTATCTAACAAGGGCAAAAGGATTTTAGCCCATAAACTGGCTGATTTAGAGGCCTTTTAACTAGGTGTGAAGGGGGAAGGGGATGAAACCAGGCTCTCCAGAGATGAGCCTAAGAGTGGCAAGTCAGAGTCAAGGGTGAGATGAGCCCACCTGAAGTGCATGTACTCTAATGTTGTACGGGCAGCAAACAAGAGGAGCTGGAAGCCATGGTGCAGAAGGAAAGCTAGGCCGTAGTCATCATCACAGAAACACGGTGGGATGACTCACACGACTGAGGTGCAGCAATGGATGGTCACAGGCTTTTCAAGGGGATGGGACAGGAAGGGGAGGTGGTGGGGTGGCTCTGTACACTGGGGAGTCTCTTGACAAGACAGAATTTGAGGTCAATGGTGATGAGGTTGAGTGCCTATGGGTAAGGATCAGGGGGAAAGCCATCAAGGCAGACATCCTAGTGGGAGTCTGTTATAGACCACCCAACCAGGATGAAGAGGGGGATATATTATTCTGTAAGCTGCTGGAGGATGTTTGAAGATCACCAGCCAGGGGTGGGGCTCTGCTAGCCCTTCTGTTTACGGAGAGAGAAGGGTTGGTGGGAGATGTGGTGGTCAGAGGCTATCTGGGGTACAGTGATCATAAGGTTTCCAGTGTTCAGTGAAACAAGGAGGAGTATCAACTAAACTCTACATTGGACTTCTGGAAGGCAAACTTCAGCCTCTTCAGGATGCTGATCAGAGAGTACTTTGGGAAACAGCCCTTAAAAACAAAGGGTCCAGGAAGGATAGACATACCTTAAGAAAGAAATCTTGAAGGTGTAGGAGCAGGCTATCCCTATGAGTCAAAAGACTAGCTACAGGACAAGCTACAGCTGCAGGAAAAAAGACCCAAAAAACTGACGTGTCTGGACAGGGAGCTTTTGAAGAAACTATGGAGAAAAAAGAGGTTATAAAATCTTTTGAAAAGTGGGCAGGCATCTCAGGAAATGTTTAAGGATGTCATTAGGGCATGCAGAAAGAAAATTAGAGAGGTGAAGCAAAAAATAAAATTGACACAACCTCATTTGACTTTGTGGAATTATGCAAATATTTAAGTATGTATTGAAGTATTTTTAAAAATGAAAGTGGGTGAATGAATAAGACCGACACATTCAATTAAGAACTATAAATAATAAACAGTGAAAGCTACTAATAAAAAGTGCTATATGCTTTAAAAACAAGTTTGCAATTTCTTGTCTATTATAGCATATTCTGTAAGCATGTGCTGTAAGTGCTGCATTAATTCAGTGCTGAGCCACTGCAATACCATTTATAAAATTTGCTTTTATTTTCCCTGAAAAGTTTCTTGCAGCCAGAAACTGTCCATCACTGCATAGATGCTTTTTTATCTGTTATTATGCAGAAAAACATTGAGAGATTTCTATATCAAAATTGGTAAAAAATGAAGCCCTCCTGGACTATCTTTATTTTTGGTGGAAAATACATTTGATGAGAAAAAAATAGCACAGACTAAACTGTTCCTTTTAGCACACTATGTTGATGGATGCAGAAGGCCATTCTCTGCTTCAGGGATGCCATTCTCTACTTTGGAAATGGGTAAGAACAGCTACAGCTGGACAAGTTGAAAATCTTAAATCATCTGTTTTGGTTGTTCATTTTTTTGGTGCCATGATCCTATATAAGTTTGATTACTACTAGTATTGTGGTAATTACATGTGTTAAAAATGAAATGGCTTTTCTTATATTCTGCTAAATAAATCATCCAAATGCCATCCAGCACCACTGTGTGGTTAGTACTGTAATATTTTTTGCCTCTAAAAATAAAAAATAAAGGAAAATAATACCCCTAAAAAAGGGGAGGGGGAAACTTGGCTTAAGGGTAGTGCTGTATACAGTTCTCTGTAAATAGTCAGAAATATTGCTATATTAGGAATAGAATTATAATTCCCTCCCTTATCTAATGTTGTTTAATAAAGTGTTTATTGCATTTGGTATTTAAATAGCATCTTCTATTGTACCTGAATCTTCAGCAAACTACAGTGGGTGTAAGCTATAAGAAACATGGTAACAGAAGGGGCCATCGCCTTCATGCCAGGGTATAGTGGCCTCAGATGCATCAGTCCCAGGCAAGGGACTGATTTTGCAATCTTTAATGGCCAGGCACAACAGTAAAGGAAAATAGAAGGTTCCAACCTTCTCTGAAAAGTTGTCAATTTATTAAACCAAGGATGAGTTTATAAAATAAACCCATTTTGTGCAGAAGCCTTTTAATTAGCTCAGCATGTGCTAATCCAGAAACTGAGTAGGATTCAGGCACTGAACTTGTTCTGCTTGAAAACATCACTTTACTAATTTGTGCAGAGTTTCATTAAAACCTTGGAAAACAACTTCTTCTAAGCTTCACCTGTTGTGATCCTACACTGCTCCACTATACTGGGTGAACTTCTCCACATGGTTCAGTGAAAATTCAGGGGACAAACACATCTTGGTTTGTGTAAATTGTGCACCATGACTAAAACTAATTGATCAGATGACAAAGCTGTGGCCATGAAATCCCAGCATGTCATAGCATTGCACAATGAGAAACAGTGACTTTAGTGATGATAAAATAGAAGAAATTGGGGGACAATTAACAGAACCAGAAGCTGGAGGAAAGTATTGGGAGTGTGTGCTTCCTTTTAACCTCAGGAGGCACTTTTTAGAAGCCTTTAATGCAGTCAGTAAATAGTGCCTTGACTGTGGGCTAAGTTCAGTTGTGTTGCCTGTGGGACAGCCCATGTACATAGCTCTGGGAAGTTGCTGTAATCTAAGAGTGGTCTGAGAACACCTGTACCACACAAGAGTAAGCATAAGGCAGACTCCCAATGTCCTTCAGTGAGAACTGTGTTAAAGCTACTCCTTGCTTTACTACCAAAATTGTACAGACTTCTCATCGCATGCCACCCCACCCATTCTTTATCCAAAGGCAGGGAATTAACTCCGCAAGTGTGAGCACAGGCACTGTCTGCCTGTAATTGTAACTCATGGGTTTGTGGGAGTGGGAATAGTGGTTGTGCATTTTGAGGAGGATCAGCAGGTGATATTAAGTCCTTCAGTACAGGCAGAAAATGGTGAGCTGTGTGCAGATACGATCATAAAGAGCAACAGACAAAGTAAGGAAGAGGAGACGTTCAGTCTTTGTGGATAGAGCTGTTTGGTCTGGTTTTCCCTGAAACAGGGAAAGACGCCTTCAGAAATTGGTGAGAAGCTTGAGAGCAGCAAACAACTGAACCCCTGACACTGGTCAGCTTCTCCCCTTCTCCAGATACAGAACAGACATATATTTTGTCCACTTGCCATCAAATCTTGAAATACTCACTACAGATCTCGTTTTTTTACTGTGCATTCTAAACACTTAACTAATGAATGCTCCTGGTTGATCTAGAACCTACTTTACTAAAACCTGCTTTGTAAAACCACTTTTTTCTTTATGCTATTTAGAATCCAGTGCAGAAATCCAGTTAGTGAAACTTAACTGCTCATGCAGAAATTGTGTCAATGCACAGCAAATTGTCTTATGCCAATATTTAACAAAATGCATAGATGCCCAACCCATTTGAAGGGAAAAGTGTTTCCAGCTTTTGAGACCAGCACAGATGACCCAGAGCTATTCTGCAATTGCACAATGCTATTATGAAGTCAAGCCTAATTTATTATGCACTTCCTGTCAACCCAGTCGCACTATCCATAACTATCCATATGTCCTGTCGCTTAAAAACTCATCCGAAAATGTAGCTTTTCCATCATTGTAGGTGAAAACCTCTATCAGAAACAATACGCTCTTATGTGAGAGAGTATTTCTTATGTGTGGATATCTGTGGATAAAAAGCAGAAATTTCTGGGGTTTCCAGTCCTGCCTCTTTGTGAAGCAGAACAAACTGACAGGGTAATTATTTTTCCACCCTTGTCGTGCTTATCATTAGAATTCATTGTATCTTTTGGACCATTTTTTTTCTTTCAGTTCTTTAATTATTTCTCTCTCTTTCCCACTATAGCAGCATTTCTTCTGCCTTGAATGTGGAAAACAACAATATTTCAAAATATGTTTATTTCTAATACAGAGCTGTTTTTGTGCTGTCCTAGTCATACTAAATAAGTCCATTCATGGTACTTACAGAGTTGCAAGGTAAAGTAATTTGTCAGTATGTATTTGATTTGGGGATTTGTAGAATGGCTTTGCTGTGCACAGGTGTGTATATGCTGATAACACTTTACTAGGCAACTATATAGAGCAGCTGGTAACCTCTACATAGGAAAAGCAGATGAGGAAAAGTTGAGGGGGTCAAATACATCTGTTCTGTCACTGGTACTTAGAATATCAATTAGAAATACTCCTGCTATTTAATAGTTCACAGTTAATAAGGTATCACCTTATTATGAGCAAATATGCTGTTTACTGCACACAAAAAAACCAAAGCAAAACAACAAACTTTGCAAAATAAAAGCCTTATTCAAATTTACTTTCTGCATGTAATTACTTTTATAGAAGAAATACATATTTTTCTTGCTTATTAAAAAAAATCTATGAAGTAATTTAATTAAAATCTGTTTTATTGAAAGACATTTCAAGAACCTTACAGGGCTGGTTTGGAGATTTTTGTACAATTCAAACATTTTACTGTGTTTATTTCCTTAGCCCTATTCCAGATTCAAAATGAAAATGGGACTGAGCACCCTCAGACAGTTATTATATAACAGCAAAACACAATGATGGAGGTGTTTGTTTGTTTGTTTGTTGGGGTTTTGTTGTTGTTTTAGTACAGGTAAAATATTGTGTGGACCACTCATTTCCTTGACAGATTTTAGTGATATCTACTAAAAAATAAAAATATAATGAAATGGGCTTTTAACATGTTTTAAACCAAAAATCAAAAATCCAAAAGGTTTTGCCTGAGACCTATGCAGACGTTCAATTCTACTGTTTTCAGGCAGAGTCTGGACAATTCATAAAAAAACCTAAATCTTAAACTGTCAATGCTATCTATATGACTTAACTGTTCAAATATGGGAAAACCAGAACTGGTCAGGAGACTGTAGCATGCAATCCCCATTCACACAAGACAATAAAACCATACTCTTGCTACATGATATATGTTGTACAAAATCTTTTTCTATTTGAAATTAAGTCCTAGTTTAACATTTGCAACATTTTTCAACTCTCCATACATTTCAGTTGTGGTTTAGCCTCACCTAGGCTAAAGGCTAATTTCTGCTATTTTGTGGGAGTCTGTCACTGATTTCTTTCTCTCATGATGGCTCATCATTTTCAGCCTGTCTCTTCTTATTTTGACTGCCATCTGTGCTTTGCACTGGCCGCATAACCCCTAACTATATTTATCATCAGACCCATAGAAGGACAGAAAAAGAAGATGAGTTGCTCTGAGATTACAGTGGAAAAATATTATCGCTTCTTGGGAACACACTGTCTTTTTAAAAATATACTTTAGTATTTTCCCATAATGCTGGGGAGTAGAGAAGTAATGCAGCCACTTTGCCTGCTTCCTGGGTACTTGTGCAGTAAAATATGCCAGTCTGAATATATCAATAGACAAAACTGTTTGAAATCTTCCTGCCTTCTTTTCCCCTTGCATCACGAAATGTTGTGACTGGGCACTGCCCATGCACCATGATCTCGCATAAGTGCTTGAAGAGTAATTTGGTGAAAGACAGCCTGCAAAGACTGCATGAATTATGGCTCTTTCCATTAATACATCTCTTTGCAAATATACTGATGTATTACAGGAGCCAGTCTGAAAAGTTTTAATGCAATTTTGGTGGTATGAAAAATACATACAAGGTATTACCCAGAATTACTACCTATATGGGAGCTTAGATTTCTTACTTTCTTTGTCTTAATCATTTATCTCTAGTTTAACCCTTGACTTTTTCTTCTCCTGACAAAGTCCTTAAACTTCATATTTCTCCTCTTATTATGTTTTTTGAAAAAGTGTTACCCAATTAATATAAATATCTGGAGAAGAGTTTTCTTTTTTTGGGGGGTAAAATTATTTTGGCAATGCATAACAAGTGTGCACTTGTAGTACAGAAAATAAAAATACAGTGTGGCAGCAATCTGGATAATGGACCAACATTTTTATTTTTAGTGAAGGCAACATCTTAGGGTTTAACCACTGGGACATGAGATCTACCAGACTTAATTTTGTCTGTTTCTTCTCAGGCTTAGTTTCTTCTTCTTTCTGTCAGTGCAGACACAAAGGTGCAGCCCATACTGGCTTTTCTGGTAACTTTGTCTGTAGGAGGATGGTTGCATTTGGTAGTGAATTACTTTCAAGTCTGATTATTTCTAAGGCATTAAAATTTATGTGGCTAATTTTAAATCCTCAGCTCAAAAAAAAAAAAAAAAAAGGTAGCAAGGTAGCATCTAGTCTACTGAAATGACAAAGTCTTTTATAAGGATTTATAATCATTATGGTAGCTATTCAGCTAATGCAAGTCAAGGTAACTCAATTGATTTTAATGGAGCTGTTTCAATTTACACCAGTCAGTCATTTGGCCAATTATGTCCTATTGTGATAAAGACAGAAAACTGAAGAATTTAAAATCTATCCTGGCTGTGACAGCTGTCTGAAAGCACTGGTTCAAAAATAACAGGCACTGAAATATTCTTGTTCATACACGTGTAAACGCGCTCTTTTTTTATTCATTCCTGTTAGCAAATTTCCAGCTTAACAATTATAGGCAGAAACCACTAGGTGCCAGTGTTACCCAGACATCAGGAAAAGGCTTTGTTAGAAACGTTAAAAACAACATGAAAGCCAATGCAGATAAACCCTTTAAATGAAAATAAAGCTTCTGCATCTTTTCAACTAAATAAGACTGCATTAAGGGTTTTGAGATGATTACTTTTCTAGAAGTAAAGACACTAAATTGATATGGGTTGACAGAAACCCACATCAAAACAACCTTATTTTGCAGGATACATTCTGTCAAAACCTCACATAACTACACAAAAGCTGCTGTGTCATCTTCAAGACCTTATGAATTACACCTAGGATCATAAGACAGAGCCAAAGTCTGCATTTTGCAATGTACATGCAGATCAAACATATGGCATGAATAGCAGTTCACTGCTAAGATCGACATTTTACAGGAAAAGCTTGTTTCAGATCAAGTGAGAATTCACATTCCAAGTCATACCTGAAGTTTGGTTTGACTCATTAGTATATACCAGAGTTTTCATTTGGGCTCATCTTCATCACTGTCATGGTCTTCTGAAAGCCTTTCCTGCTAAAAAAACTAGGAAATCTATTTAAGGAGCTGGATCCGCTAGAGACAGCTGATTACCGGTGCATGGGAGTTGCAAATGCAAATCTCTGACTAACCTTCACTCAGCTCATTTGCAAGAGATGAATCTCACTCATTTATCTTCAGACATCTACACTGTAACTGTTTACATCTATGCCAGTCATCCTGATTTTTTTGATGTAGAGAAGCAGTAATTTCCTGACTATGATTCATCTGGCCTATTTCAAAATTCACCTTAGCATAAGATGAACTGCAAAACAAACTTAAATGATTGATTAACTCAGGAGATGAGTTTTGCACAAAAGGCATCTTAAGTTTTGTTGATTAATCCAACCAAAATGATTTTGCAATGCTTAATTTTTAGTCAAATATAATGTTTTGCTTTTGTTCTTTCTACAGCCATTAGACTTTGAAACAAAGAAGGCATACACCTTTAAGGTGGAGGCCTCCAATCTCCATCTTGACCATCGATTTCACTCAGTGGGTCCATTCAAAGATACTGCCACTGTGAAGATAAACGTCTTGGACATGGATGAACCTCCAGTGTTCAGCAAGCCCACGTACACGATGGAAGTCTATGAGGATACACCGGTGGGGACCATTATAGGTGCAGTGACAGCACAAGACCTTGATGCTGGAAGCAGCTCAGTTAGGTAAGAGAGCTTTTTCTCCTTTAGTAGCTCTCTGACAACCCAAAGTGCTGCTGACAGTTGGATGCACTGGCAAAGAACTTAGTATGAAGAGATGAAATATACCTAGTCTGTCACTGTAACAGATAACTGATGCTCTGAAAAAATATTGGAAGGAAATGCTCGTTTGAGTGAATTAAGTGCTCAGAGCTTCGTATCGTATGGATCATGTAAGTTACCACACATTGACATGACTTCAGAGGTGGTGTGTTAAGACTAAGGAATAGCATGGTCTCTGGGTGTCACAACCCACTGGTAGAGGACGTGATATTTGCTATAAATTCTCCTTCAGTCTGACAAAGACACATGTCAGGGAACTCTCATGCTATTATCGTACCATCACTATAACTCTGACTCATAAGGTGTCAGCTAACAAGCCCTTAAATTCTTACAATGGACTTCCACAAGAGTGGTAGCCCTTAATTTTGTAAGGTACACTTCAATAAGTTCTCAACTCCCACAACAAGCTCCTTAAACCATGCTGGCTCACATGCCACAACGCTCCTCCAGAGAGACTGAGGGGGCCCAATCCATTACTTTTATAGTTAACCTGGTGCACACCTCTTACGTAAAGTAGATTTTTCACACTGTTTTGTTGGCACATGCACAGCCAGAATTTCTCCAGGAAATGAGTTGGCAGGTGGAAGCTGAGAATGAGTCTCAAGGTGGAGCAGGATGTTGGCTGAGAACAGCCCAGCCCCACCTCTGCACAATCCTCTCCTCTGATCACACCTTTCCTATAGCAATGCTCAGAAAGTTTGAGACAAAATATGTTTAGGTCTGGTCCTCTACACAGGGTCTTCCACAAAAATATCTCCAAAGTACAGTAGTGAGAAAGAAGGTTTTACTTGCTATGCCTGAGTTAGACCCCGATGGATGACAGAACTGTCCCTTTCACCACTTACTCTCTACATCTTTGAAAGAATGAATGCTCTCATAAACAATCATCAGATGTGTCTTGGCTGAGGCTATGGGGACATGATTGCTGACCAACATGCTGTGTTCAGCACAAGGAAACTCCTGCCAGGCAAGCCTCTCATTTATTGCTATAGCTTATTTTAATGAAATAAAAAGGAGGGGGGATCTGGTATACAAATGTAATACATTGATTTTGAGAACCTATTTATAGCCACATTAGAAAGATTAAAGTGAACCAGAGTCATGTACCAATAAGGAAGCTCCTTAAAACTTAGGCATGGTCTAAGATGTAGGCAGTTGTTAACACATACTTCCAGTAGCAATTTGTTCTGGGCCTACCTGACTTCAGGCCCTTTTTATCCCCAGATTTTCATAAGAAATATTAAAGACAGCACATGTCATCAATCTTTAAATATTAATGTTTATCAAATGGGACTATGAGAGAACAGGAAAATGCCACAAGTGTCTACCAAGCACATGTAAATTCATGCATATTTGATTACAAATTGAATTTGGACTTTTTAAATCCATGTTTATTAATTATGTGTGTTTTGGCTCAATACTTATAATCTCAAAACATACAATAAGCATGTTAGTTGTAATCACACGCAAAAATTTAACATACATCAGTGACTGTTTAGCTCTTGCTTTGTCAAGTCATGAATTTTTGCTTAAAACTATTACTATTGATGTTTGTTTCACTTGTTTTTAATATAATTTTCATTTTTTTAAAATATAGAAATGTATTTGTCCATGACTCTGTGACACATTCCTTCTCTGACAAAGGATCAAAACCTTCACTAACAAAGACTGAAGTCTGAACCTTTTTCCCTGGTGGTAGCCTATGAAAGAAAATAGCCCCAGTGAAGTCAATATTCTGTTGAAAACCATACTCTCTTGCAACCAGATAGAAGGCCTTTAATCACATTGTTGAGCAGTTTTTCATATGACAGTGGAATCATTTGGATGTATAACCAGTCTTCAGTGAGAGCTTTTTTTTTTTTTTTTTCACAAACGCTCCTAGGAGACTCAAGTGCTTTTTACTGATTCTGTATTTGCAACTACACAAGAAAAATAATTGCCTCTCGATGGTTTATCCACATAGTGTGTTCACTGGAATATTGAATCCTAAGCCATTTTATAAGGTCCATGACTACGGTTTTTTAACCCTGAATTCATTGCTTAAGTGTCCAAATGCCCATCTACAGTTAATACATTTTAGTCTCACTGCTCTTTCTGGTGACCCATTATACCAATAAGCTGCGTAGGGGGTCCCATAAATGCTCCCAGGGTCACATTTATGAGTTGATTCAGCTGGTTCATGTCCACAGAAAAACATGAACCATGTCCCAGAATGTTCTGGTGTTTTTCAGTGGTGTGACTTTGGGTACGTGTGCATCTACATGAGTTACATTCAGAGTCATATTTTCTACCTTTGCAGCAATGTCCTGCCCCAGTACAGCAGCTCAAATAGGTTTGCCCCTGTTTCCAGTTAGTCTTCTTCCACTGGGGCAGCCACCACCACAGGACATTAGACACCATCCAGAAGTCAGTGTAGAGATAGAATCCAGGGCACTTTTTTTATTCAGAGATCTCTAGAGCTAGTTGGATGGCTTTCACTTCTGCAAGTAGGTTTGCCTCTCCTTCTCCTTGTGTAGGACTCCACACAGCAGCTTACCACCTCCAATGGTTTCCTACCACTCAGAAAGATCCATCAGTAAATAGAGCATGGCCTCTTTTGTTTTGGGACAACTTGTTATATGATGGTGCTTCTTTGGCACTTTGAGCCACCTTCCTCCATATGGCCATTGTGCAAAGGGCATCCTCTGGATCTTTAGGGACTGTCTTGGGGTGATTTTATAATGATACTTTATTCGTCATTGTCTGCTTATGCCCAGAAACAGCTGCTTTCTTTTCATTTTTCTTTTTTTTCCCCTTGAACTCTTTCTGCTTTTTTTTTTTTCCTTTTGACTTTTTTTTTACCCATCTGGGGAGCTGGTGGGGAGGCTACCCCAAACTTGAGACCTCAAAGCAGCTGAACCAACATGAGAAAGGACACTAAAACCCACCAGCTTCTCCTTCTGCAAGGAGGAGACTAACATCAGAAAAATTCCCATCTATTCTGCCTGAGTGGCTATGCTAACTCCTGTTCCTCCCTTTCCCTGATATAAAGAGCAGCCTCCATGTTTGCTTCATGGCTGTCCTGTCTGGTGGGGGGTTAGGGTGAAGTTTTTGAAATTTCAGTATCTAGCATTTATTTAATGCTTATGGGCACCCTTTTGTTTTTTTCTTTGTTAATAAACAGTTTTGGGGTTTTTGGACTTTCACCTGCTAGGATTTATTTCTCTCATTGGCAAACAGGATGATCAAAGCCCTTCTCTCTAGAGGAAATGCTCATTTCAGGGCATTTTCTCCTAAAATTTGTCCCTAAACATAGACAGGGACACTATCCCTTTTTACTTAACTATAGAGCACTTCCAGGACTTCTTATTTCTCAAGGACTGGATACCTTAATCTGCAGTGATCCACCTTCCCGGGGAATTCACAAGATCTTCCTTAAATGGATTTTGTGCCCTCATGCTTTAGAGAGGTCATCTCTAGAGACTGCAAATTGCTCCTTCTTTTCCAATTTCTCCTTCAATTTCCCCATCTCTAGCAAGGGATTTCAGTTGTTGTGGCCTCATGACCTTCTAATTGTTGACTGTCAGCCCTGTTATCCCAGCATCACCTGGCTGGTGACTGTAGTCTTTCCGCAAGTCTCAAAGTTCTGATGAGGTCAAGGAACAGGTAACTTCAGGTTTCTATTTGATTTGTCTCACTCCTTCAAACTTATTTGTTGAATGACCAGCTTTTTCATCTGACCTCTCCTCTCTCTCTCCTCCTTCTCCTCCTCCTTGTTTTCCTCTTCCTCCCTTTCTTATCAATTATATGGACCAGTAGCTTCCCTTACCCATTATTTTGTTTCCACTGCTGCTGCAAGTACTGTAGTTGCTGTGGTTTGAGTCCCTGTGTCAGCCATAGTGTCCTCAAATGCAGTTTGGGTTCCTGCCTCAACTACAGTCCTCTGTGAGGTCTGAACAGTGGCTCAGCAGGCACAGGTCCAGCCCCAGCACAGGGCAAGAAGCTGCTGGCTTTCACTGGGGTGGGAAGGCACCCTTCCATCATTGACGGGTCAGTGCAAGGGTTGGTTACATGTTCAGGTGTAAAGTCACAGGTAACTGGAGGCAATAACCACCCTAGGAACCTGCCCAAATGCTTCCACATACCCTGACACCCAAAAACTGGATGTCTCAGGGCACATTTCAATATCTCCATACTCAAAGTGAGTCTTCTCTTACACCAGGACAACACCAGATTCCACAAATCCCATGGTGTGCCCATAGTACTCCTTAATACTATTAACAGTATTAAGCATCTTAAATAAGGGTGAGCAATGCCCATGGCAGCCTGCATTATAAACCCACTCACATCAATTTTGGGCAGGGAGAGGGAGATGTATTTCCTCATCATCCACAGAAGATAGCTCTCCCCACTAAACAAGGCTGCCATGTCAGGGCAAAGCACAGAGCTATAGTTTGTGTTAACACATTCCCAGCAAACGCAGCAAAACAGAGAGATAAGGAGCACAGCTGACAAACCTCATGTCCCACAAAGGAGCTTGCAACTAGATAACTGCTATTACTCTAGCATGCAATATCGAGATATAGATAGATAGACAGACAGATGGATAGATAGACAGACAATCAGACAGTCAGAGAGAGAGAGAGATGGAACTGCCTTTGTCTCTCTCCATGGGCACTAAAAAAGGTTGTGGTGGGTTGACCTTGGAGACATGCCACATGCCCACCAAGCCACTCTATCACTCCCCTTCCCAGGAAGATGGGGAGTGAAAATAAGATGGAAAACAACTCGATAAGGCAGCTTAGTAAAGCAAAAAATGGAGCTTTGTGCATGCATAAGTGAAGAGAACAAAAAAAAAAAAAAAATTTCCTCTACTTCCTATCAGCAAGGGGTGTTCAGCCACTTCCCGGGATGCAGGACTTCAA